GACTGGTCCTGTTAGTCATTCCAATTTAGAAATGAAGAGTCATAGGTTTACAAATCTGAATGTCCTATCTATGTACACCAATAGGTGGTAGAGCTTGGAATTAAGTTCAGGTTTCTCTTTTCACAGTTATGTGTGTGTGTGTGTTTAAAATTATTCCCAATAAGTATTCAAAATTGTAGACTCTGTGTTTTCAGAAGTATTAAGTGATTTACATTAGATATTTGATACCACTTAAATGCCATTTTAATATGTGGCAGACATTTTTTAAAAACTACAAAAAAAACATGTATTTCCTTTGATACCATCTTTTTTTTTTTTAGAATACTATATTTGTACATGGGAAAAAAATTAGTTAGAAATTTTAGTTAGGCCAAACTCAGGAGAAAAGCTATAGAACTTGGAAAACATGAGTTGCATAATAAAAAGGGGATTAGGCATCAGCTTGTAAAATGTCTGACCCACTTTGGAAATATAGGGATTCTCAAAAGAGACCAAAATGTTTATTGGCTCTTGTTGAGTTATTTTTGAGCCTGTAATCTATATGTATTCATTCTTCTGACTTCATACTTTAGGGTAAAAAGAATGTGCTTGTTTGCTTGACAACATTCTGTATAGTGTTCTGCCCTGGGGTGAGATTTTAATTCTACAATGCCAAGTTCCCAAATTCCTGGAGGGTTTTGATTTCTCCTTAGTTTTCCTTTATTCTTTTATTTTTTTTGAAAGGTTAAGACATTTTCAAATTTATTATGTAGTGCCAGACATTTTCCAAAGTTACACTCATATCAACAGTATATCAAAGTGCCAACTATTTCTCACCCTTGCTAGCACTTTGTATAGAAAGACCATTTTCACTTGTGCTGATCTGTTTGCTAACTAATCACAATCTTATTCTGATTTCAGTTTTTAATTTCCTCCTTTTTTATGAGGTTAAAGATATTTTCATAAGTTCATAGTTTATATATGTTGCCTCACTCCATAAAATGCATATTAAAATATTTAGTCATTTTGTTTAATAGGAGTCCTTATATATTATAGATACTAGTCCTTTAAAGATCATGTCTTGCAAACATCTTCTCTCAAGTGTAAGTATTGTCTTTTTATTCTCTTCATTGTAATTTTTTACATTTATTTATTTATTTTATTAAATTTATTGTGGAGACACTGGTTAATAAGATTATGTAGGTTTCAAGTGTGTGTGTGTGTGTGTGTTTTAAATAAGTTTCTTAGGCTCCTAGCTAATTGACTATCTAATTATAATTAAGAACATATTAGTGCTGCCATAGTTTTCTATTGTTTAATGAAATAATACTGAAAAATTATCATTTGCTCAATTTTGAGCTATTTTACCAGTTGTGGTTTTAGATGTATTTTTTGGATAAATATGTGTGGTGTAGATGTAAAGGAGAAAGAGCCCTTTTTGGAGACAATATACTCGTAAAATCAATGACTACGGTCAAACATGTTCTTTGGAAAAGGAATTACTTGACATTGAAGAATGGCAATATACCTGACTGTGCTGTACTGAGGACTTACTCTCTCTAAGAACAAGTATCCTGAGCCAGCCTTTCTTGTTTGTAATAACAAAACTATACTATTCTTTGAATTAGTATTCTATTATAGAACTGAGCATTCCAGAACAATTAGCTATCTGCAGGGTCTTATTAAATTAGTAATAAAACAATGGAAATTCCTTTAGAAATAAATGCTTTAATGGTGTTTCCTGGAGTATTTGTACTCATTGCTATTAATTAAAAAATTTAAAAAATGATGTTAAATATAGAGACTACACACTATCATCCCTGGTTTATTGAAGAGTTTCTTCTTCTTCTTCTTCTTCTTCTTCTTCTTCTTTTTTTTTTAATCCTCATCCAAGGATATTTTCCCATTAGTTTTCAGGGAGAGTGGAAGAGTGGAAAGACAGAGAGAAATAACAATGTGAGAAAAATACATCAATTGGTTGCCTCTTGCAGGCACCCCGGCCAGGGTCCAGGCCTGGGAAAAGCCTGCAACCAAGGAATGTGTGCCCTTGACAGGAATTGGACCCAGGCCCTTGTGTCCTCAGGCCAATGCTCTGTCCACTGAGCCAAATAGGCTAAGGAGTTTCAAAATTAGTATGCCATTGCTTCAGTTACAGATTTCCAGAGAATTTAAATAAAAATAATTTTATACCCATTAACTATATAAGCATATACTTTAACAAGCCACAATATAAAGTTGAAATTAGTACCATTTAGGTCTACACTAAAATAACTAAAGAAAAGTCATCATTTAATGTATCTTTTACAATAAGAATTCAGCATGTGATACAGTTATCAACATAAGGTAATTGTCAAGTTAGTGATTTAGCACTATGTGGTTTTTATTATGACTAGCATACATTCTAGAAGTTTTCATTCTACAACAAGAAAGCCTATGCTGTAGGAAACATCAAATTGTTTCATGTCAATTTTTCCTGGGCGCTAGGAGCATCCTGGTGTGTGAGAAAGAAAAACAAGAGATGAAAGAGTAACCAGTAAAGTCAATAACAAGGAGAATGAAGGTAGGCAAAAATGACACTGCAGAGAACAACTGAGCTTAAAAAAATAAAAGATAACAAAATACTGGAAAAACTAAAAAGATAAAAAATGAAATTTTATAATGAGAAAGGATAACTTGTTTTCAAATTGATTTTCTAGAAATAAAGCTCCTTTGTAGTCTATAAGAACTTGAACATGAGATAGTCTAGTCTTCTGCAAAACACAAATAAGGTTAAAACCCTGAAGCACTTGTGACACAGAATTAATCACTTTTGGTATTAGATCACATGCACTATTTTACAAACAATTGCAATGGTCCCTTGAATACTGTAATAATTTAAATGCATCACATACATATTCACTCTCTGCAAAGTTGTTTATTCACAATGTGTATTTAGCATTTTCAACAGTTGACTTATTTTTCAAAAAATTATTAGTAATCTTTATTTATCCTAGATGTTAAATTAAGGAAAACTGATTTATTGCAATTAATATAGTCAGATAAATACTGATCGTATTTAGTTATATTAAATATAAATATAAAATACACATCCAATTAAATATAAAATACACATCCAAGCTTTAATCTAGCTGTTAGACCCCTCAGAGCAAGGACCATGGGCCAGGTACAGAAACTCACCAGGACAGAAAGCCCCAGATGCCTGCCAAGGGGCAAAAACTGGGAAAACAAGAATGTTGCCTTCAAGGGTAACCTATCCTCCACTAGCATGAGGTTTGGACCCCTGATCTTTCATATCCATGGTCAGGAGGTCTAGACCCCCCCTGCCTCTTTCCTCCCTAAAGAGAACCTCTGGGCCTCAGTTGTATTTCAGCTCCGGGCCCAGAAAGCAGCAAAACCAGACAGGTGGTGCCCTAGCTGCCACCCATCAGTGGAGACCATGACCCTGAAAGAGCACACTGCAAAGCTGACGAATATTCTGTTGCGACCCTCCCCTTACACCTCCCCTAATATTTCTATTTGCAAGAGAGAGAGAGGGATAAATGCTCAGGACAAGGGACCCAGCTCAAGCTCTCCCTCCAAGGAGCACATGGAGCCATTCCCTTTCCCCTTCTCTTCCCCCACAGGCATGTATCCCCTCCCCCCTAACGGACCCCTGAGACTGCAACCAGAGGAGCAATGGGCAGCAGTAGCTAGACCTGGGCTAACCCCTGGACTTTCTCCAAGGCTCCCTTCTCTCTGGGTAGCCCCTTCCCTTTGGTTATCCCAATCTCCCACCCATTTTCTTTAAATAAATACAATTTTCTTTAATCACCATCAGTGATTGCTATTTAGCCTTCCCCGGGCACCACAGATGTTAACCTTTCACTAGCCAGATGACAGATTCACTTTGAAAATAATTAAATCGTAAGCATTATGTATATTTGACAAAAAAAATAAAATTTGTCTATTTCTTTGGGTATGTAGTGTCTTTTAGAACTCCAAACTAAAAGCTGATTTAGTTTTGTAAGAATTTTTACCAAAAATGTACATAATTATTTGGCAAAACTGCTGTTTTAAGTAATATAAACCCAGATTTATGATTGTGGGAATAGTTTTCCATATGCCCAGTTAAGCTACAATCGCCTTGAAAGTGAGAACTAGATACTATTTGCTGTAGAATAGCCAACGTATAGTGCAATTTCTGACACTCAATAGGCACTTAATGATAGAGGAAATTATTTTATAGTTTGAGTCAATTATTTTTTTAAAAAAAATCTACTCTACTACTTGTTTATTTGGACTGCAATTGCCTTTGTGTGAACAGTGGAGGCATCACAAAATTAAATTTGGTCTATTCTGGCCCAGTGAGATCAGTTGTTGAAAGTAGAAAAACTGATAAAGAGGAAAACAAGGCACTCTGTCAGCCACACCTTCCATTTGAATGTTCCGCAGGATTGACCCTGTGGAAACATTGCAAGTCCAGTGGGGTAGCCCATTTTCAGACTCCGTGCCACCAGAATGTTAAATGGATGAATGTACAACTAACAAGAACTGTTTCTGATTTTCTCTTTCAGCCCTTCCTTTCCTTCTTTTTCTTTAGGGTTTTGAACAAGTAAACTTTGTCTCATCACAACAAAGAAATGTATGTATGGAAACAGTCTCACATGTAATCATTCTATTCTTCTGGAATAACCAAGACATACCAATTTTCAATAAATGCATCGCATTATTTGTTTTACACTTGAAGATAAAACCTTGTGGGAGAGGGTAGGAGAGACTTACCTTTGGGCAGATTTTCCTCCAAACAAAATTAGATTACCTAGAAAGCAAAAACCCCTTGCCATTTGCAGTATTGAAATGTTTTCCTTTCATGGCCGTATATTTTGTTGTGTACCTGTCCATTCCTGAGGGACATGCTATTGATTGCTCTTTATGAATAACAGCGTGGCTATCCTCCTACCTTCATTACTAGAGAAATAGTTCTCTGTTCACACTCTCTATCATTTTAACACATTCATTTTCAGAGAACCAGTAGGACTTACCTTGAAAAAGGTCATGGTTGCACCATCCTCGACTGCGCCGTACTCTATCTTGGTTTGTTTAGCTAAATCGTCGGCAGAGTCAATAGGGGATTCCATCCGCTCCACGGTCAGGAAGGCGGCTAAGTTAGCAGTGTACGAAGAAATGATGATAAGTGTGAAAAACCACCAAATGCCTCCCACTATCCTGGTGGAGAGCGCTTTGGGCATGAGCTCAGAACCTAACAGAGATTTGGGGGGAAAAGGTGAAACGAATACAGAGAATGTGATCAGCAGTCAGACACCTTGGTCACAGTGGCAGAGCGGAATCACTGTGTAATAGAAGCTTTAATCATTGATTGACATCTTGCTTTAGTTAAGCCAACAACCACCGCTGTGAGTGCAGAGACCAACGGGAGTGAGTAGGCAGCCTCCCAGGACATTTGTGTGTAAGTATAGTGACAGGAGACTCAAGTTCTTCCTGAGACATTGCAAAGCAACAGTTGAATACTGAGTGAATAAACTATAAAAACAGAATTAAAAAAAAAATTTCTCTCATTTCTAAACCATACGTACAGTGTTTCATATTCTTGTTATGTGGATTTTAGAAGAAATGATTTGACGTACGTTCAGTAACATTTCTTACCAAGTATTCTGTAAAGTTTAATTTCATGTACATGAAGCTCCTAAACATTGTCTATCCTGCCATTTCAAAAAGTGTAAAAATAATTCCAATATTCGTGTTTCTTGAGATACGGGGGTTTTAGTCCAGTTTTTATTTTAAAATAAGTAGTATATTACTTCCTATGTATAAAGAAATGTCTCCCATCACTATAGTCGCCCCAGTGCAGGAACCAGAATAAGTAAAGTGTCACAATTTTACTTTTACACATATATAAATATTTCTTAAATATATTACAATACATGGCTGGAGTTGCCTGCTCATGGTATTAATAGGAAAATGGGATCTGAATTATATCTTACTTTTGATTATTATTAATTTTAATTAATTTAGATTATGAAATAAAATCTTAACAATTTTTAAATTGAGCCTTATAGTTTTATACTTCCATTATGTATATTATTTACAGTCTTAATGTTGAAATGAATACATATCAGCATATATTAATTTTTATAAGAAAACAATATTAACGTATGGATATGCGTAATATATGACTATTAGCTTTAAATCATTTTGAATCTATAAGCAAGAAAGCATTGGCTACAAATTGCTCAATTTTTAATAGGCCTTGAGTAAAATGGAATGAAGCAAAGATGGACTCAATTTGCTGATTTGTTTTTTAGTCATATATTGGATATAAACGCTGATGCTGTAAGATAACATATCCTTAGGAGGAGTGAAACGTACAACAAATTATCGGTGTTCACATTGAAAAGAAGTAGTGTTGTGACTGGAATATACTCAAACAGCCCATCTTACACTGCAGGTCATCTTACTCTTGCAATTTCAGAATCAATGAACAAAATATTAAAAAGCAGACACACTTGGACATGACAGCCAACTCCAGCTCCAGACTCTGCCTACCGCTCTGTAAGGAAAAAACAAAAGAGTACCTTTCCGTTGTGGTCGCTCCTAAGCCCTGTCACACACACACACACTGGACACTGAAACACTAAATCCTCCCAAGACGATCAGCAGCTCTGGCTGCCCATTCTACCGTGTTTTTGTTTGTTTGTTTGTTTTGTTTTTTTAAAAACAACACCACCAAGTCAAACAAGACTGGGAAAGAAAAAAACATTGAAGACATTTGACAAAAAATGGCCCAATTACCACAAGTTCGTATCTTACCCAAGGGCTTAAAACAAGTACCTCCGAGGCTTGTGAATCAGAGCCTGGTTAGGGGCTGACTGTCATGTACTCAAGGCAACGTCATGTCCAGCACTACATCCCACTAATTCCTGGGAGCTTGGCATCAGCCAGGATAGTATGGGTTCCTCTTTCATGTATCCACCAGCAGTGAAGTAGTTATGTGGCAAAGCAAACGTATATTTGAATTTTTCTCTTGGATTACTTGTTTTAATTTTCGGAGATATCAGTTATAGTCTCATTTTTAATTGCTAGACTTCATAGATGTCAAACTCATCTTGTGAGTATACAAATGCTCTAAAACTTCCAAATATCTTCGAAAAGATATTTTACTTTTCAAAGTGGTAGCAAAAATATTAATAATAAAAGAACTTTGTTATGGTCGGACCTTTATTAAGAGGCTAATATACTCCAGAGCTTTGAGGCTAGTTTTTAGCAGTGACTAGCAGTTGGCCTGGTGGTTGGATTACTCAATACTACTTGTAACAGCTGTTTATTTCAAAACAGGTTTTTATTCATTGTTAATATTTTGAAAGCACTACAATATTGTCTTCCAAGTATAGACTAAGCCTAAGGGGGGGAAAAATGGACTCACCCCATAGAAGAGGGAAAATACAAGAACTGACCATTCATCTTATTTAGAAAGAGATGTCACAAGCTTAGATTAGTTCATGCAAGAGCTCTTTTAACTTTCAA